TGGGAGACACTGGAAGTCTTTGGAAGTAATTGGACGTCCTTGGAAGTCTTTGGAAACCACTAGAAAGTCACTGCAAGTCTTTGGAAGTCACAGAATGTAGGTAACTGTGTTACCTACGATTTTTCAAACATTTTTATCACACCCAGTCTTTCCTTACCTGACGTGAGCGATATCTGCGACGTGTCCGAACTCTTCCGACTGTGTCCGGACGTGGCCGAAGCGCCGCTCAACGAATTGAGCGACTTGGCGTCGGACTCGAACAACCGATGGAAGATTTCGAGAGCATTTAGAAGTCATTAGAATATTTGGAAGTCACTGGAAGTCTAGTCTTTTGAAGCCTTTGAAAGTAATTGGAAACATTGTATTCCATTGTAAATCTTCGGACGTCTTTGGAAGTCATTGGATGGGTTTGAAAATGTTTGGTTGTCATTGGAAGTCTCTGAAAGTCACTGTAAGTCACTGAAAGTCTTTAGTAGTCATTGAAAAACATTGGACGTCTTTGGAAGCCATTGGATGTGTTTGGTAGTCATTGGAAGTCTTTGAAAGTCATTTGAAGTCTTTGAGAGTCATTTAAAAACTTTGAAAGTCAATAGAAGCTTTCTCGACACACTGGAACTCTCTGGAAATCATTGGAAGTCTTTAAAAATAATTGAACGTCTTTGGAAGTCTTTGGAAACCACTGGAGAGTTACTGCAAGTCTTTGGAAGTCACAGAATGTAGGTAACTGTGTTACCTACGATTTCTTCAACCATTTTTATAAAATCCAGTTCTTCCTAACCTGACGTGAGCGATATCTGCGAAGTGTCCGAACTCTTCCGACTGTGTCCGGACGTGGCCGAAGCGCCGCTCAACGAATTGAGCGACTTGGCGTCGGACTCGAACAGCCGATGGAAGATTTCGAGAGCATTTAGAAGTCATTAGAATATTTGGAAGTCACTGGAAGTCTAGTCTTTTGGAGCCTTTGAAAGTAATTGGAAACATTGTATTCCATTGTAAATCTTCGGACGTCTTTGGAAGTCATTGGATGTGTTTGAAAGTGTTTGGTTGTCATTGGAAGTCTCTGGAAGTCACTGGATGTCATTGGAAGTATTTGAAAGTCACTGTAAGTCACTGAAAGTCTTTAGTAGTCATTGGAAAACATTGGACGTCTTTGGAAGTCATTGGATGTGATTGGTTGTCTTTGAAAGTCATTTGAAGTCTTTGAAAGTAATTGGAAGCTTTTGGGAGACACTGGAAGTTTCTGGAAGTCTTTGAAAGTCATTTAAAGACTTTGAAAGTCAATGGAAGCTTTCTCGAGACACTGGAACTCTCTGGAAGTCATTGGAAGTCTTTAAAAATAATTCAACGTCTTTGGAAGTCTTTGGAAACCACTGGAGAGTTACTGCAAGTCTTTGGAAGTCACAGAATGTAGGTAACTGTGTTACCTACGATTTTTTCAACCATTTTTATCAAACCCAGTCTTTCCTTACCTGACGTGAGCGATATCTGCGAAGTGTCCGAACTCTTCCGACTGTGTCCGGACGTGGCCGAAGCGCCGCTCAACGAATTGAGCGACTTGGCGTCGGACTCGAACAACCGATGGAAGATTTCGAGAGCATTTAGAAGTCATTAGAATATTTGGAAGTCTAGTCTTTTGGAGCCTTTGAAAGTAATTGGAAACATTGTATTCCATTGTAAATCTTCGGACGTCTTTGGAAGTCATTGGATGTGTTTGAAAGTGTTTGGTTGTCATTGGAAGTCTCTGGAAGTCACTGGATGTCACTGGAAGTATTTGAAAGTCACTGTAAGTCACTGAAAGTCTTTAGTAATCATTGAAAAACATTGGACGTCTTTGGAAGTCATTGGATGTGTTTGGTTGTCATTGAAAGTCTTTGAAAGTCATTTGAAGTCTTTGAAAGTAATTGGAAGCTTTTGGGAGACACTGGAAGTTTCTGGAAGTCTTTGAAAGTAATTTAAAAACTTTGAAAGTCAATAGAAGCTTTCTCGAGACACTGGAACTCTCTGGAAGTCATTGGAAGTTTTTAAAAATAATTGAACGTCTTTGGAAGTCTTTGGAAACCACTGGAGAGTTACTGTTCCTTACCTGACGTGAGCGATATCTGCGAAGTGTCCGAACTCTTCCGACTGTGTCCGGACGTGGCCGAAGCGCCGCTCAACGAATTGAGCGACTTGGCGTCGGACTCGAACAACCGATGGAAGATTTCGAGAGCATTTAGAAGTCATTAGAATATTTGGAAGTCACTGGAAGTCTAGTCTTTTGAAGCCTTTGAAAGTAATTGAAAACATTGTATTTCATTGTAAATCTTCGGACGTCTTTGGAAGTCATTGGATGTGTTTGAAAGTGTTTGGTTGTCATTGGAAGTCTCTGGAAGTCACTGGATGTCATTGGAAGTATTTGAAAGTCACTGTAAGTCACTGAAAGTCTTTAGTAATCATTGAAAAACATTGGACGTCTTTGGAAGTCATTGGATGTGTTTGGTTGTCATTGAAAGTCTTTGAATGTCATTTGAAGTCTTTGAAAGTAATTGGAAGCTTTTGGGAGACACTGGAAGTTTCTGGAAGTCTTTGAAAGTCATTCAAAAACTTTGAAAGTCAATAGAAGCTTTCTCGAGACACTGGAACTCTCTGGAAGTCATTGGAAGTTTTTAAAAATAATTGAACGTCTTTGGAAGTCTTTGGAAACCACTGGAGAGTTACTGCAAGTCTTTGGAAGTCACAGAATGTAGGTAACTGCATTACCTACGATTTTTTCAACCATTTTCATAAAATCCAGTTTTTCCTTACCTGACGTGAGCGATATCTGCGAAGTGTCCGAACTCTTCCGACTGTGTCCGGACGTGGCCGAAGCGCCGCTCAACGAATTTAGCGACTTGGCGTCGGACTCGAACAGCCAATGGAATATTTTGGGAGAATTTAGAAGTCATTGGAAAACATTGGGCGTCTTTGGAAGTCATTGGATGTGTTTGAAAGTGTTTGGTTGTCATTGGAAGTCTTTGAAAGTCATTGAAAGTCTTTGAAAGTCATTTAAAGTCTTCGAAAGTAATTGGAAGCTTTAGGGAGACACTGGAAGTTTCTGGAAGTCTTTGAAAGTCATTTAAAGTGTTTGCAAGTCATTGAAAACTTTTGGGAGACACTGAAAGTCTCTGGAAGTCACTGGATGTTATTGGATGTCATTGAAAGTCTTTGGAAGTCATTGGAAGACATTGGAAGTCACTGCTGAAGTCTTTAGTAGTCATTGAAAAACATTGGACGAAGACACTGGAAGTTTCTGGAAGTCTTTGAGAGTTAAAAGAAGTCTTTGAAGGTCATTGGAAGCTTTTGGGAGACACTGGAAGTCACTGGATGTCATTGGAAGTCTTTGGAATCCACTGGGAAGTCACTGCAAATCTTTGGAAGTCACAGAATGTAGGTAACTGTGTTGCCTATGATTTTTTCACTCATTTTCATCAAATCCGGTTTCTCCTTACCTGACGTGAGCGATATCAGCGAGGTGTCCGAACCCTTCCGACTGTGTCTAGACGTGGCCGAAGCGCCGCGACTTGACGTCGGACTCGAACAGCCGATGGAATATTTTGGGAGGATTTAGAAGTTTTTAAATTGTTTTTTTCTGCAACCGACACAAAAGTCGTCCATTTTGATACCAAAATTAGCTCTTAAATTGACGTTTCTATTACTGACACAAAAATAGGTAGGTTGCTAGGCAACATATTTAGTTCCTAGGAGCTAAAGTTGAATTTTAGTTCCTAGGAGCTAAAGTTGAACTTTAGCTCCTAGGAACTAAAAAGGAAGTACTGGACGTCATCAAGAATGAACAACATTGTGACGGTTGGTTATATGGGTTGAGACGCATACCTGATTTGTTTCCGATTTCAGCAGATTTGGAATTTTATACCCATGCTGCAGATATAAATACATCTTATTATAGTTTATTATTGGAATTATAAACATCTCAGCTAAGTATTTTTGTTTGATCAGGAAAGCCTTCAAGATTCAAATACTTGCTTGATCTGTATTTCATTCACTCAAACAACGATATTGTTTAGCTTAATTTGATTATTAAGCGAAAAACATTGTATTATAGAGAGGAGTAAATAATCGCCATTATCATTGTTGATATGCTCATTAACCTAACATTTTCCACGTCTTGCTCCTATAGCTGGCACTGGCGCGGTATTTGCTATTAGAGCGCCTGGTCCATACACAAATATGTCACTCTGTGATTGTACTTATATTGAAACTACAATTCGAACATCCTTGAAAATTGAATGAACCTGCTGTTGATGCAGGTAGAATGTTCTCACTACACGGATTATTTGTCAATATTTGTTGCATTGCATACATATGGCACGGCATTGGTGGTAACTTCACATATTTATTTGAGTTAATTGTTTCGGTTGCAGAAAAAATAGCATGTTTCATTCGGATCAAAAGTGACTTTGTTCGACTCGCAAATTTTGCTTTCGCTCGGCTTCGCTAAACGCTCCGCCTCGCAAATGCAAAATTCGCTTGTCAAACAAAGTGTCACTTTTGATCCTAATAAAACAATCTACTATTTTTCTGGAAGTCACACTGAAAGTCTTTAGTAGTCATTGGAAAACATTGGACGTCTTTGGAAGTTAATGGACGTCTTTGGAAGTCATTGGATGTGTTTGAAAGTGTTTGGTTGTCATTGGAAGTCTTTGGAAGTCATTCAAAGTCTTTTAAAGTAATTGGAAGCTTTAGGGAGACACTGGAAGTTTCTGGAAGTCATTGAAGGTCATTTAAAGTCTTTGAAAGTCATAGAAAGCTTTCTGGAAACACTGGAAGTCTCTGGAAGTCATTGGAAGTCTTTTGAAAGTATTTAGACGTCATAGGAAGTCTCTGGAAACCACTGGAAAGTCACTGCAAGTCTCTGGAAACCACTGGAAAGTCACTGCAAGTCCTTTGAAGTCACAGAATGTATGTGCGTGTGTTACGAACGATTTTTTCAACCATTTTTATAATATCCATCTTTTCCTTACCTGACGTGAGCGATATCTGCGAAGTGTCCGAACTCTTCCGACTGTGTCCGGACGTGGCCGAAGCGCCGCTCAACGAATTGAGCGACTTGGCGTCGGACTCGAACAGCCGATTGGCCTCCTCCAGCTTGGCTAGCAGCTCCAGCTCGGTGAGCGATGCCCTGTCGGCGTCGGCGTCTCTGCTTTCGACGGCGTCGATCGTGGTGGGGGGTGGCAGCGGGGGGCTTTGCTCGAGCCTCATCGCGGGCGGCATGACGGGGCAGAGGGCCCCATCGGGATACAGCGACGACAGGCAGCTGAAATAGAAGGAAATCAATGAATATTGAGAGTCTTTCAATGGGAGTGATAGTTTCTCCGGAGTTTCTTTATTGTATTTATTCAATTTCCAAGGTTCCAGATATTTTGCATGATTTAGCAGAAAATTTCCGCTCATTAGGTTCACTTGCTGGATCTCATAACTAAGAGATCCAGGATGAACAGAGTTGCCCCAATTGTCAGCGGGAGCGAGACATTACTGACTGACTCTACGCTTCGAGTATATCATCCATTTCGAAGACGCAGGATAAAACATGAAGTTCTAGTCATGTTGTAGCCATCTAGTGGCAGAGCTCTAAGGTAGGATCAAAAGATCGCGACACACACTGTATGGCGTTGCCATATATAGTCACACGTACAGACCCTTACCTTACGTCCATACGCTACAGAGTGGTACTACAAAAAAAAAACAACTCTGCTGACAGATGGCACTGCCTGACATATATCTAGAGTGGATATTTCCACCGACCTATTCAACTGCTAGATCTCATAAGAGATCTAGGATGGGTGATATAGCCGAAGCATAGAGTTGCCCCAGTTGTTAGCCGAGAGCGGCTGATGAGACCTGGTGGGTCGAAACAGTATTCTCTCGCTCCTGCTGACAATGGGGAGAACTCTGTTCATCCTGGATCTCTTAGTTATGAGATCTAGCAGTTGAATAGGTCGGTGGAAACATCCACTCTAGTATATGTCAGGTAGTGCTATCTGTCAGCAGAGTGGTTTACTTGTAGTGCCACTCTGTAGCGTGTAGACGTAAGGGTCTGTACGTGTGACTAAAGATGGCAGCACCATACACTGTGTTCCGCGATCTCTTGATCCTACCTTAGAGCTTTGCCACTAGATGGCTACAACATGACTAGAACTTCATGTTATACCCTGCGTCTGCATACTCATGTGAATGGAAAATTTCCAAAAAATTTGTTGGATACCATAGTAACAATGTCGAAATAAAGCAATTGATTGGTTGAAAATAGTCCAGGAGCCGGCTGCACATTCCGACTGTCAAAGAAAAACCTTATTTTTTATTTTCGGAGGGGTGTAATTTTTCCAGAGAAAGGTTTTTCGAAAAAATGTATACCAAAGGACCACTTTGATTTTCATCACTTAATCACCCCTTAACTTTTTCGTTGTTATTCAGATACAGGATGTTCCTAACTGCCATCTACATATTGGACCTTATTTTAGGCTTATTTCAGGACAATAAGCCCCTATAAACATCTGTACCAATCTGATTCGTCAATTTTTGGATGAAAAATAATAAGTTTTATTCATGTAAAATAATAAGTTTTATTTAACTACTTATAGGCAACCGCTGATAAGAAATCGAACATGTTCAAATGGTGGAGAGACCCTCAGGGCAAATGAAATGGTGAAAAAACATTTGGCAAAATGGATTTCCAGTGGCGCCGTTAGGGAGATATTACTGTTCATTTTCAGGAAAGAAAATTTCCAAATTTCCAAACTTGAAAGGAAGCATCGTTTTCGACAAGAAACGGAAAACTTTGATGTAAATGCTGGAGTTCTGGACATCCGTTATTCATATTGCTGGATAACCATATCTAGGACCTGGAATTTTTGTACTATTTCGATCACATAACAGACTAAATTTGTACAGGGAGGACAACAGAAGAATCAATGCATATTTTCAACTTTGTATCTCGAAAACCAAGCGATTCCAGACAAATGTTTATGGAAATTATTGGTCGTAAAATGAGCCAAAAATCACCCCCTTCAATATATGCGTGAGATGTTGGAACATCCTGTATAACACACCCCCTAACCCATACTAACCAACTCCATGTGTTTTCCTGAACGAAATGGTTTCAAATATTTGGATATTCAAAAATTGTCAACTGACCTGGATAAAACCACAGATTCACTGACCTTTTAACAGTTACACATTATCGACATTAATATTGAATACCTCAATAGCAATAAATGTTCTGTTTCACTGGTTTCAAAAAATTATAATACAAAACTTGCACCAAATTATCAACAACTGAATTTCCAAGTGATAAACTTCACTGAAAAACCGATTCTACATCAGCAACGAATAAATAAATATCCAAAGAGAAATCAATTTTTCATGGGAGTGTGGATGAGCATATCGTTCAGGGGCCTGCCCATTTGGGGCAACAGGGGTGGACCTAAAGGAGGCTTGGGGGTAACACCCCCTCTTCCAGAAGTTACAAATTACCAATAAAAATGAATTGATGAACTCATTCCAAAAACAAAGCAAGAACGGACCTAAGTAAGTAGAAACTTTTTTTCAATATTTGAGTGAACGCCATTTTTCGTGAGATACGTCACACTTTTGTGGTGAAATATATCATTGGATACATTTTTATGTCTATAGAGGGTGAAACAATTAATAGTGCGTCCTAGAAACAAATATACAGGGTGATACTTAAGTAGTTATACTGTTCAAAATATTACGATTTGGCCAACTTTCCTAGATTATAAATATTGCTAATAAGAAAACTAATTTGCTCTTCAAATTAGCGCTATTTTCTTAAGGAATATAGAAGACACGTCATTTTGACAAAACTAAGTGATACTGGTTATCAATCTGAAAACTTGACAGTTTCCAAAATAATCGCATCATACAGGGTGTTTCAAGAAAACCTAACCCCCTTGCTAGGGTAGGTAGAACATTGCAAAATATGTTGGGTTTGCTCAGTAAAAAAATGTCGTAACGCCATCCGTTTTCAAGATACAAGGTGTTGAAACAATATTTTTTTTTACACATTTTTCACGATTATGTTGAAACCACTGGCAACATTGTGATGAAATTTTGTATGGATGTTTCTTGGGATCTGACACATCGCATGCATTTGTTTTTATATCTGACTCTCATAGAGGGCGCTAGTTACACGGTTCGTACCGAGTAGTTTTGAACATAACTTTTTTGAGGTTAGATTTTACAATCCAAATTTGATGTGAACTTGAACATCATTCAATTTCACACCAAAAAGGTACTCTTGGTAAAACTCGATACTGTGTTCCGTTTTCGGGATATTTCGATTTGTAAATGATGAAGTGGTAACTGTTGCTGGTATAAATCTATGTATTAGAGTGTGTATTATGAAAAATTATCTCCTATTTATTGAAAACCGAAAACAACAATACATTTCTGATGCAAAACATCGAAATATTCCGAAAACGGAACATAGTATCGAGTTTCACCAAGAGTACCTTTTTGGTGTGAAATTGAATGATGTTCAAATTCATATCATATTTGGATTGAAAAATCTGACATCAAAAAAGTTATGTTCAAAACTACCCGGTACGAACCGTGTAACTAGCGCCCTCTATGAGAGTCAGATATAAAAACAAATGCATGCGTTGTGTCAGATTTCAAGAAACATCCATACAAAATTTCATTACAATGTTGACAGTAGTTTCGGAATAATCGTGAAAAATGTGTAAAAAAATAATTTGTCTCATGAAAACTGATGTCGTTACGACATTTTTTCACTGAGCTAACCCAACTTATTTTGCAATGTTCTACCTACCCTAGCAAGGGGGTTAGGTTGTTTTGAAACACCCTGTAGATAGGCAAGTGGATTTTTTTTTCATTTTTTTTAAATAGAATAATCACTCTACTATCTTTCAATTCCATATCATCAACAATGCCACGGTATTCTTCAAACAGCTAGACATTTACAGCAACTAACAACTGACGCCACGATTTCGTAAATATAGGGACAGACAATAGCACTGTTGCCATATTATTATGTTGAAATAAGATTGGGAACTTTAGAAATATTATTCATTTAATAATTCAAAAATTCTCAATTATGTATTGGTAATATTCCTAATTAGCTATGAAAATCCATTGTATTAAAATGTTTCCTCTTATGTGTTGTGGCTTATTGCTTATGATAAATTTTTGTAAATAATAATTATATTCATTCACACTAGAGGACATTTGGTCCGGTAAACGTGACGATACGGCACGGATTGTGGGCGTTGTCTTGTCAATTCTCAGTATTCAGCACATTTTGCCAAGTCTCCATCCAACATTAACATGCCATTTTCTTATGGATTATAAGGAATATTTCGACGAACTGGTTGCTCGAAAAAGTCAAGAATTAACTACTATAATATCATGGAATGAATGAAATATTTAATTTGGATGTAGTTTTATTCAACGAGAAAAACTTTTTGATAACTTGATTATTATTTTTTTTTATCGCTTGGATCGCACGAAAGGGATTATAATTGGTGACTTGAGGGCCTTGCTTCATGAGTGGGAATGAAAGATTATCTGACCAATAAGGAAACAGCATAAGAATAGACGTTACCATGTACAGGGTGATTCACCATAAATGTCCCCCCCTCTAGCTCAGTTATTTTTGTACAGATTTCAAAATTTGAAATATCATCTCAAATGATTTTCGATAAAGTTTTTTCCGCTACATCAAAAAATACAGGGTGCTCGGAACAAATGATCTACAGGGTACTATTTGATTTTTTTTTAATGGAACACCCTATTTTTCATTGTATTTTTAGATTCTCCCTGAAGAGCTGATTTGATCAATGTATCACACTTGAGGTCTAGGAAGAATGATTAGGTACAGAGATATAGGGTGTTCAAAATCGAGATTTTTCAACTTTAGAATTTTTTTGTGACGATACAATTCATTATCGGTCAAAACGGCTTTCATGTCCGTATCTTAACGTTTGATTTACTATCTACTGACATTTAATGATTGGAACAGATACAGGATGATCAGAATTATGAATCTTGAACCACCCTGTAAATGTTCCAATTAAATGTCTGTAGATAGTAAATCAACAGTTGAGATGGGGACATAGAAGCCGTTTTGACCAATAATGAATAGTTTCGACACAAAAAAATCTTAAAGTTGAAAAATCTTGATTTTGAACACCCTATATTTCTGTAATCATTCCCGCTAGACCCCAAGTGTGATATATCGATGATGAAATCAGCTCTTCAGGAAGATTCCAAAAATAC